CAATTAATGATCTGCTGTTATGCGCAAATCTTTGGCATATAACGTTTCAAAAGGAGTTTTAATTGTATAATAAAAAGAAAAGCGAAAAACGAGAATAGTCCATTTACATTGCAATGAAATAAAAGATAGAATATATCGTTGGTCATTGTTCTCTGAGACATGTTTTCTCGTTCGAAAAATTGCGATTGCCCGCCGTGAACGTAGAAATCGTGCTTAACGAGGCGAAAGAAAAAGAAAAGGATATACCTTTGCAATAATAAAGCCTTGAATTAATCTGCGGCGTATCCGAAACAAAAATGCATCTCTTGCAAGCCGCAAATTGCGGTCGGATGCATTTCGCGTTGACTTACACTTCCCATAAATCACCCCCGGAATGCATTCAAGATACGCGCTGTCGCGTTATCTTGGTTTTTTTTTTTTTATAGTTTTATCTACTGTCCGTCTGAAAAAAATTTAAAAACAGTAAAGTATTTTAATATAATTACGATGATAATATTTTCGAATCTAACAATATTGGGAGAAAATTAATTAAGGAAATTGCTCCGCTTGAACTTGGAATATTTGCATAAAGTTAATAGTTTCTTTCTCGGTGTAAATTTTATTGTCTTTTCCAGAGATAAGTTCCGTCTCAGAAGGAAATTTTGTTATTGCCTGTTGCAATTGACTTTCCATTTTACAATACAACTTTATTCTTGGTATATATAATTTTATTCCGAAATAAAAAGTGGAAGGAAGGAGAGGACAAATCAGAGGGAGCACTTTAACTCTAAAAATACTCGAGATACATGACACATAAAAATGCTTGAAGAAAACTATATAATACTCGCAGTTTAGAAAGAGAGAGACAAAGAGAAAGAGACAGAGAGAGAGAGAGAGAGAGAGAGAGAGAGAGAGAGAGAGAAGAGAAAAAGGAAAACAATCTAAAAGTTTTCTGATATAGAAACGTCATTTCGTATATATATATATAAATCATCATTCCAATACTATCACGTGAAAAACGTTTTATTCGAGAAAGAGAGTGGCTTCGAAAAGGCGAAATGCCATTTCCGATGGCAACGCAATACAATTCAAGGAAAAAGAATTAAAAAAATCGAGGACAAAAATGTGACCCAAGGAGTTACTTGAGTCCTTGAGTGAACATGCCAGAAAAGAAGAGCCTGTTTAAATATTTTCTATGCGGAACGAAGAAATATTGTGTATTTTGTTCTCGAATCTCGTATTGATGTCCCAATAAAAGAAAGGAATACGTATGATAGCATATTTTATATGAGAAATGCATGAGTCCACATGTTAGCCTAAAAAAAAGAAACACATACCGCATTTAGTCTAAAAAAAAAACAAATTTCAGTGAGTCAAGTCAATCCTGAATACTGAACATTTTTTTTCTCGCATATGCACGCAAAATATCGAGAAATGTATCCGAAACAAATAGTTAATGTATATAATATACAAATAGTTAAAAACATACAAATAGTAATAAATCTAGAAATATAATATTTAACTGTCACTAATATGAGAGAATGTTATAGTAGCGATGAAAAATGATATATTTATTTAATAGTTATTTAATAGAGCTCTTTTTTCTGTAAATTAATTAGCACGTACGTCATAATTCAAGCACTTAATTACACGCGCAGTGTGCGACGGACGCTCGATTACTGCGAATTAATTTTGGCATCCCGCACATTATTTCGTACGAAGTGCGAATTACGTGCGTTTCTGTTCGGGCACGCAAATATCGCTGTTACGCAACATTATCAAAGAAGATGGCCAGCCATCTCGGCGTTCCTAAACGTCTACGCGTGCCAAGAATGAAAAGCAGAAGAGTGGATATTCGTTCGCTTCCCCCGTTGTGAGAAATACCGACTCGGTAAAACTTTCTCGCGTTCGACGCGCATATAAGGAAGGAGAGAAGAGTTTAAAAATAAATTGATCAACGGGTATTTCGTCGACCACCCGGCGGGAATAGATCAGCCGAAGCAAATTAGTTTTTGTCTTTAAGTGATACACGAATCACAGTGGCGTAATTTACAGCTGGGTATTTATTTGAACCCCCCATGGTGAATTTGCAGTTAAAGCGTAATCCGAACATTGAAGAGACAAGAAGATACATTCGTGTAGCAAGCAATATCCGCAAAATTGATCTCCGCGCTTCCAATTTGCTCTACATGTCAAAAGAAACTTATAGCACTTTCCATACATTAAGCGAATCATGTAAAGATTGCACACATGAAATTTCGTTCTTACAGAGGGAAAAAATTCCCTTTTTCTTAGATAAAGACAGAGAAAGAGAAAGAGAGATTCCCCAATACATTATAGTCGTATTAAAGGGAATTTTACAGTGTTTAAAATTATTCTTATATATTTATTAAAAAATGATCAAAAATATAATATATTTTAATATATCTTATAATATATTATAATATATTATAATATATTAATGTGTTAAAAAAATACAGATATATTAATTATATATTATTTATATCTATACAAAATGATGTGAAAAGATTGTCTTAAATAAATATATTAAATACACCAAAAATGAAAGAGAAATATAAACTTTTTGTGTACCAACTGCAACTTCGTTATTTTTTTTATATTGCAGTAAAACAATTATTATTATATTATTAAATTAAATGAGAATTAAATAAGAAGATAACTATCTAAAATTAATTCTTTTTTACGTAGCTATAAACGATATACTCAAGAAGAAGCTTTTCCGTTTAAATTTTTAGAGGCTAGAAATCGCAAAGACAGTCATAGTCGTTTTTGTCAGCCTGCAAGGCAAACGGCAGGACAATATTGCAAATTGAAACAGAGATGATCGGAAATGCGGAAAACCGTAACTACGCATAAGATTGGTCGTGTGGAAATCGAGTGGGTATACTACAATTGGTGATACGCAGCTGCGTCGCGAATACGTATCCATAGAATCACTTGGAATGGACATGAACGTTGCCAATGCGATCAGCCATTTTGATCGGTATTGCACCTTTGTGCTTGTATCTGGACACGTGTATGTGTGTGCGATACGCACACAAGCGTAAATATACGCGTCGCGAAACACATAATTGCACCCTTATCGGATCCGTCACAGTCGTTATAAATGAGATTTCTGTTCATTTACCCTTGAGATTGTAAAACGTACAATGAAATAAATTTATACAAAACAAGTAGATAAACTTGTTTTGTATAAATTACACCATCAACTGCGCTATGCGATTGCGTTACGATCGTTGGTCTCAGAAAATGTAAATTTTTATTTACATGGCGATTGTTCAAACGATCCGTTTGTAAGCAGCTTCATCTACTTTTTATTTTCAATCCTCCAAATAATTCGAATATTTTTGTGCAGTACGAATACAACATCTGTTTTATTCGTACTTTGAATATTTAAATATTACTATATATTATACTATATATTATACTATATATTATAGAATATAATTTAAAAATTTTGTAATAAGCAAATATAAGGAAAAAAAGATCATTACTTTTCGTACAAATATATTAATCAACAGTAAAGCGATTTATATCTTATTAATCTATTCGGTTATATTTGATACTCACATTTGTCTCTTGCCTTGGAAGCAATCGAAAGTCACTGACTAAATCTAGATCTACAAGTTAATCTGTGAATAAGTAAAATATCAAGACATAAATAATAACTCAAAGAATTTATATCTTCTTATCTTAAATAAAAATTATTTCATATCGATTTTATACGGTCAAGTTAAATGCGTTTTAAATAAAGATTTCCACATACCGATTATTATACATAATCCAATTAAATGCAAATCCTGGAAAATCTCCCGAACGAAGAATTACGATAATTACCTAATCCGATTGCTATTATTATTCACCAATCTCGCAGTACAAAATGTCTTCTCAGCTTTAAATTGACGAATTCACACGACTTACTCGGTCAAGATTTCCAATACACACTGATCGTGAAAAACCTTTAACGATATTTCGTGTCTATATTCTATAACATGCGCTATCTATACAGTTTGATAGACGCGACCGTGTCTGTTTGCAAACAAGACCGATGCCCACGAAAACTCAGATGTAAACGTTGTGGCAAACAATTAGTAATTATCACAACGCTATTTGCCTGCTATTATAGTCGGTGAAATAATAATAATGATAAATTATTATTATATCTCGTGCTTTGAAGTCAAACTTTAAATCATAATAATAATGTAAAATCTTTAAAATTTGTGATAAAAAAAAGTAGTAAGGAATTCCTCTATATGTAAAATAAAATAATATCGAAAATCTATAAATCTGCTCATAGTTGCTTATATTATTGCAATCGAAAAAATAAAAATCCTTTAAGGCCAACACAGTTATAAGTGTATAAGTACATATATTTTATTATAAAAGATAAATATACGTTTCGATTCTAATTTGAATTCTCTTCAGTATTCCTTAATATTTGCATAAAATAATAATCATCATAAAAATCATCAAGAATATCAATGTAAAAGAGTTAATATAATCAAATGTTGATTAGTTTTTTCATATCCACAGCATGTCAATGGTTGTTCATTAAATTCCAATAAACTAAATAATATACAACAAATATACAACAATAGTATACTATTGTAAAAGTTAATTGTAACAAAAATATATACTGAAGAGTATTATTATCTTATACTGAAAAGGATCCAAATTAGAATTGAAACATATATTTATCTTTTATAATAAATAAATATATGTATTTATACACAACCTGTATTAGCTCTTAAAGACTTTTTTTTAATTTTTTTATTTACTCATTAGAGCATTTATCTGAATTATTTGATTATTGCAATCCTTGTTTATTATAATTTTACGATATTAGGTGCGTATATTTTTTCGTTATTTCAACGTTTTAATTAATATTTACTTCTTTTAATACGTAGAAAATCATATAAAAAACACACACACACAAAATTACGTTTTTTAAAAATATATAACTTATATTTTCTCCTTTTCAGTTTGCAGATTACTACCGTTCAAGCGACAGAAGTTTCGAATGGCAAAGCGACTCGCGGTTCGTCGTAACACAGCGATACATCGTAAAAGCATCTATGCGGAACTCTCTACGCGGAGACGACTAAACCGATCCGATTCTTTCCACGAAACACGATCGAGGATGTATAAAACAAAATAAATTGGGCATAGGATCGATGTTATGATATCCGAATACTTTAATATCAAAGACAGCAAGGTCGACTTATCAAATCGACATTTGATAACAAAGGTAAAAGCTACTTCCTTCTTTTTTTTTTGCAATAAAACATCTCACAGTCTTTTATAAAGAAAAACTTTTAGTGATTTTAAGTTTTTAGACACGGATCATTTTTGAGACGAATGAAAAAAAGAACTCTTGAGACGAACTCTTATCCCGACTTTTTCCTAATAAAAATTAAATCAGTCGGAAGGAATTAATGAATGCGTATATAGATAATGAACGTATACACAAAATGAGAAATAAATCTTAAAAGTCAAAAATTAAAATTGGTATTAGCGTAATTTTAATCATACCCGTTTAAATCATACCCGCATTCTTTTAATATAAAAAAAACTATAAAAATCTAGGGAATTTTCTTTTTGAAGATACATATTTTATATACCAAATTTTTAATTGATAGATTTTTTAATAATAGCACTTTATCTATTAATTTATTAATTTGATATTATTAATAGTAATTATTAATAGTACCAAAAATGACAAAAGCAACATTATTTAAGTTAATTTGCGACATTTGTAATAACAAAAAAATAATTAAATCGAAAAATAATTAAGTCGAAAATTACACAAATAATTTACAGTTAATAAATTCGAAGAGCACGAAGATTCAATCAGAATTGAAGAGCAAAAGGAAAGACTAGACAGACAGCGAACACGAAGCTTATCAGAATAAAGATGGTAACGTGAAGTGACAAGATTGAAGGAAGATTAATGCAAAATCAGGAAGTGATAAAAATTGCTGAACGATGGAAATAAGTTCGATGATGACAACGACGGCCGCTTCCCATTATTACGATGATTGTAAATTCATGCAAAACTTCAGCAACAGCAGCAATGAAGGACCATTCGAATGTGGACAGGAGGTCAATACCAATGGCCTAGCTGACTTTATTATTTATGGTATATTTGTCAACCTGATTGGTCTCTTCGGAATCTTCGGCAACACAATCTCTATGATCATCTTGTCACGGCCGCAGATGAAATCTTCTATCAATTATCTATTGATTGGATTGGCCAGATGTGACACAGTACTGATTATCATTGCGGTAAGTGCATTTCTCTTATAGTTTACGTCCTATACTTTTTACGCGAGAGAAATAAATACCTTTAAAATTTAAAGACAGAAAGCAGTCAGGACAAGAATTGCGCAATAGCGTATTTTTAAAAATCAACGATAAGTAAAATATAATTTAGTTTTTAAAGAGATAGCGAATGCAATTAAAGAAATGCAGAAAATTGTAGTTTGTATAATGCTTTATTTCTTGACACTTTGAAGAAATTGGAAGTTACGTAAAGGAAAATTTGCTTTACTGCGTAAAGGAAAGATGCTGATGACTTCGTTTAACTGTATGAATTTTTATGAATTCAGAGTCAAATATTATATGGTAGAATTATGAATTTAATGTAGAGTTAAATATTATATGCTAGAATTATTGTATAGGATCATAAAAGCGGAATATTGCACGTAAAAAAAACGGTCAAAGTTAACAGCCGCTTGAGTGAACTAGTCGACTACTTTTCACCTTTATTACGAAAAAATAATATGAAAGAGTTTTTATTATACCAAAATTAATGTTGGCTTTAAAAGCTTTTAAAAGATGTTTTATTATTTAACAAAATAATGAATTTTATATTAAATTTATTTACATTTTTTATATAGAATATAATTTTACATATTAGTCTAAATAATTATATATTTAAAAAGTATTAATCATTTTGTTAAAGAGATAACAGACTATTGAAATATCTTTTATTTTAATATCTTTTATTTAAATATCTTCTACTTATCATATAATATCAGAATAGATTGACTTATATTACAGTTAATGTGATAAATATTTTATCCGTTTGCCTACGCGATTTACTTATTATTTATTACATTTAACTAACAATAGCATAAGATGTACACAAATTTTTGTTCATGGGAGTATCCTGGGAAGGGAAGGATTCAACCCCTTTTCTCTGAAATTTATGATTAAAAATTCCGATTGAAATCTAATATTTTTCCTAAAATTAGAAACAAGAAGGAAACATTCCAAGGTCTAAAATATTCAAAAAACCAATTAACGCAAAAGATTGTTGTTTGTGTGATAACAGAATTGACAGAAATCTCCCTCTTCCAGAAAAAATCTTGGATGTGCTCATACATCTATTGTACATTTTACTTTTTTTTTGTGAAACTTAAAGATGCGATTTTTCTCACCATGACCCCAATTGCGACGTGTGATGAATCACAATGCGCCGAACGAAAAATCAATATTTAATTGGCACATATGACCAGAAACGATTTTCAATGGGATCGTGAAACGCCTCGTAATTGCCATCGAATGACCCATCGTCGCGTCTGGCCGCTGCCAATCAATCATGCGCATCAGATAAAATTTAAAAAAAAAAGCATTCCATCGTTCGCATCGTTCCTGAACCATTGAGTTGCATGTCGAAGAGCTTATCGTGACGCCTTGTTACTCTTATCTTTTATTAACAATAGCTTTCGAAACAACCGAGTTCGCTCATGTTGAAAGTGATATGAGTTTGAGAGACAACATGTTTAATCCTCTTTGTCGAATATACAGGATATTTTCAGAGAACCATTGCAAACATGTGATGACAAAACGTAAAAAAAAAAAAACGCTGTATATTAAACCTATTTCGGTGTTAACGCATTAGTAAGTTTGAAATTTTGAATAAAAGGGTCTTCCATTAATTATTAGCTATACATATCATTGCATAATTTTATTCTTTAAGTATTTAGCTTGAGACAGATGTTCGTTCAGTGAAATTTTAATTCAAGAATTACTTTTTATATATTTAATATTAAATGACAAAAAATTGAAATTTAACAAAAATAATATCCATCTATAAATTTCTTTAAATTTAAAATGTGAAGCAAAGAAATATAATTAAATTTTAAGAATTAGGTAATATAATAAAGATAATTAAAAAAAAGTGTAATGTTTAACTTTATAACACATAAGATTGATTTGTACATTATCAACTTTTGTTAAAAGATTCATTTTTATTAATTTAATTAATATCTTATACGTGACAAAAGTATTTTTCTATTAAATTTTTTAACTGAGATGCTATATTGAGATATTCTTTGTACCAGCTAATATCTTTCATTAACGAGTTAAAAATGAAAAATTTTTATCTTCCTTATATCTGAATCTGACAATTAATTAATCTTTGCCGTATCAAACAAAGTAATTAACGGCCTGAAAAATATGACTTATAACAAATGTTAAATGTCGAAATTCAATTTTCATAATACATATCCACTACAGACTATAATACCTTGTCGTAGAAATCAACCGCAGATCACTCTCATTTTAATTTTACTTTTAATTCCCGTGTTTCATGCAATCGTAAATTTCCGACATAGCCGAGCTTTTCATTAAAATAAATTCTCTTTAATATAACTCAGTAGTATGCGTTCTGGTTTATCTCACATAATTTCAGCTATTTCTCTAAACATATAATTTATATCTTTATCTATATATGCTCTCGCATTTTTATTTTAAATACATATGTGTTTGTATGACTACAAATTTCAGATAAATCTAAAAAAAATATAAAAAGAGCTTATTATGAAGACCATTAAAGGAATGATTTCAATAAATTTTGTAATTTGCTTGACTAAATTCCAAAATTTTAATTAAAAAATTTTTTTCTAGAAAAATATATTTATTTTCCAGGTAGTATGGGTAAAAATGAACTAAATAAAATTATGGCGTATTTAATTGTGATATATTATATACATATATGTATGTATTTTATTTTAAAAAGCCACATTTTAAAAAGTTAATGAAATATATACATAACCACATTTTTTAAAAATTTCATAAGTAGATTGAATGCAAAAATAGAAAAAAAATTTACTTTTCCAAGATTTTATGATATAGAATAAAACAATTTTTATTGTATATTTTAATGTCTTGCGATAATAAAAGGTATTATAAAGAATAGATTTCATAGATCAAATTTTAGCTCTTTTATGTAGAATAATTTTACATCATCTTCGTAGCAACCCTTATCAATATAAATTCGCGATACAGAGAAGAAGAATTAATGTCTTTGAAAATGCATAGCATGTTAAGATGACATAGAATAATATAGATCACACGTCGAGCTTAGGTAAATAAATCACGCGGTCTTACATTTTCGTGGATAAAGTCAAGATTAAAGTCAAGTCCTAATAGGGCTAACACGATAAATAGGATCTTTTGGTTTAAAAGAGACGAGCTGGAGGAGCAGAATTCTGTCAACCCTCTCGAGATCACATTACACATACCAACATGATTATTAATTAATTATTTGAAATGAGCTTTCCGTTCCACCGTCGACTTTGCACTCCGTCTTTCTAACGAACTATTTATATAATACTCATCTATCAAACGTATCGCGAGCAAAAGCGCTACATATTTATAAATATAATCGCACTTTATAACAAATAATTAGATATATCAAATATAAGCAATTGGAAAACAAAATTCCAACAATTACCAATTTTATACTTTGAATGCAGAATGTTGAAAAAAATTGAAGAGACAATAAATTAGAGTCGTGATACTAACATTTTAAATTATTTATATCTGGGAAACAGTTAAGTTTTTAACTTATGTTCACTAAAGTTTTTTTTACTTAGTATGACATGTATCATATAAATGCTAAATGGTTTTTTTAATATCCTTTATAAGAAGCTCTTATCTTTTTTAATTGTATCTATAAATTATGCATTTATAGGTATTAATCTACGGATTACCAGCAATCTACACGTATACAGGCGCGCTATTCGACTACAAGTTTATCGTCTATCCGAAAACCATAAGGTACCTGTATCCATTGGCTTGCATAGCGCAATTTGTGACAGTGTATCTGACGTTAACGGTGACTTTAGAGAGATACATCGCGGTCTGCCATCCATTGAAAGCTAGATCCTTTTGCACTTATGGACGGGCCCAAGTGGCAGTGCTGATCATAGTGATCGTCGCTTTTATTTACAATCTACCTAAGTGAGTAATCGAGCTAATGTTTTCAATGTTTTTTCTTTGTTTATTATCGTTAAAAAGAAAATTAGTATAGAAAAAAAAAGTTTTAATTAAAATAATTGTAAAATAATAATAAAATATACTGGCAATAAAAGGGTTAATAGAGCGCTGAAATTGGTGCGTAATTCATATAATATTCATATAATATTTACATAATGGGTATCGATACAAACTTCTTTTCGGTTTATTTTAAACTATCATCAGAAAAATTGTGGCTAATTTTCCAAAGAAGTTTATATTGACACTTATTGTAAATTTATTAATATATTGGGTTGTCCGGAAAGTTCGTGCTGATTTTGAAGGAAAATTGAAACGCAGAAGATTTAAATTTTAGTATACATTTATTAAATTTAAATCTTTTGCGACACGAACTTTCCGGATAACTCAATATTATGTGATTATTATATAAATATTATATGAATTGCCTACCAACGCGCTGTATTAACGCTCTCATTACCCTATACTTATTATTATTTTGAATTTCGAGAACCCTATTATTTAAATTTGGTTTTAAAATAAATGTGTTAAAATTTTTTTTTTCCTGTTGTTTAGCTAGAACGAGATATAATATAAAATGTTCAATAGAGAGAAACGATGAAAAGAAAAGAATATCTAAAAAATATCTTACGCTTACAATTGATTGCAACAAAATTATTGTGCAAATTAATGAAGAAATTAATTTTTGAAATTATTTAGATTCTGGGAAATTGAAGTATACAACGAGAAGCATTGGAAGTATAATATCACGGTATACTGTGTTAATCCAACTGAATTGAGGAGCAATGAATATTATGTCATCCTGTATATTCATTGGATGTACTTTTTTGTGTATTACATGTTCCCGTTCATCGCACTGGTGATTTTTAATACGGCCATTTATCGAAGGGTGAGTAACATAAAGTCCAACATTGTCATTAAATTTAGACCATTTTATTAAAATAATATTTTATCAAGAAATAATGTACCTTACAAAAAGAACATTTTATTTTGCACGTGGACGAACTTTATTTTTGATCTAATTTACTCCGAATATAAATTATACAGATCCGACACGCAAACAATGATAAAATTGAAATACAATATTATAAGTATAAAGCATCATAAGTATAAGAATTAACTATCATAAGTATAGAGCATTCCCCAAAATTGACATTCTATATACAATAAAAAATAAATTTAGAAATCGTTTTATTAAAAAATAATTTTTATTTTTAACATAATTTTAATATATTGCTAATTTAATTTCCTTTGACTTTTATTACTACCAATTTTCTTTTAAAAGTATAAATTGAGTGTGCTTTATAATTGTAGTCAAAATTTAAAAAATTAAAGAAACAGTTACTGCTTTACTTTTACAAGAACATCATCTATGATTGTTAAATTTCAAACTGGAAACATGAGAGAACATTGACAACCCGAAATGAAATACGAAATACAGTCGGATTAAATGTGAGATATCGAACAGAACAGCTTGTTAGCGGCATCCCTGATGGAAGCTGATATTTCCCAAAGCTACTGTTCCGTTTTATTAAAACTTCTTTTTAGAATTCGCAATAAGTAATCATGACAAAGGAATAAGAAGGATAATCGAGCCGCAATAAATTCCGTAACGGGCTAACTATGTCATATAAAAGTACGAATAATAAGCCGAAGCGACGAAACCAATAAAATTACAAAGTATATAATCTCTTTGATGATACTTATCTCTTTGACACGTGCACATGCTTAGAATTCGCAAGTACGTATAAGAGCAGCAAAATTCATGGACGGCTGCTCTCACATGTGCCACTTATGCAGACCACACGACTGTAGTTGCAGACACAAGTAATGTCATCCTTCTCTTCCTCTTTATCCTTCAATAAAATATGTGAATTTGTAAACGAAAGTTAACATGTGTTAAATATTTCAAAATAATTTCTGCACTCTAATTTTATAAATAATAACGCAATGTAATAAAATTAGCAAAAAGTTAAATTAATAATCTCAAGA